ATGTTTCCGTACAGGTTCYCRTAYAGATCCCGTACARATATTACCTRTACGTTTCGYACGGAAAGRCCCCGTACGTGTACTCTATGCAACGTAGCTTTGTTACATAGGGACAACTCTTTCTGGGTGAGGAGTGGGAGGGGCCAACTGTTTGTTGTCCCTTTTGTCTTTGAGGCGGACCGGTGCCAGAGGTGGTTGCTGGTGTGGTGCCTCGAGTGGTAGTGTGGTATTGTGGGTGATGAGGGCATATCGTATTATCTTTTGTGTGATAAAACCACTTACATTTTTGCACTAATCCGTGGCCGGAGACACAAAGTCTAACTTGAACTCCTCTCCATCCTTCTGAAATTTCACTTTTTCCTTCTACGTTTATTTGGCTTCCGGGGCCAAGTTCATCTTCACGTTTATTAATCGTGTGGAGTGATTGTCCCTTTGGGGAAATTGGGGATGATACATCTTCAGGATTTTCACCATAGAGTTTTTCACCGCCCAATGGAGATGAAAAATTAATCGAAGTGAAACCCTTATGGCCATTACCCAAAACTTGTCAGCGACTTTCCAAGCTTTGAGGGAATCTTGCTATTTTTTTGTGGCCCACCAACGAAACTGAAATGGATGACGAGTATTTAAACTCCCCGAAATGTTAGGGTCTCTTAATACAATCCTATGAAAGTTGCCCTTGTTTATCATGAAATCAACAATGTTTTCGGAAGTCACAACGTAAGAAAAATCGTTTGCACCTTCAAATTTTACCCTCCCTCGTTTCAAAGATAGATTCACCGCCAGGCTAGAATACCAGCCATCTTCATAAATACGAAGTACCATTTCTTTGATCTCGTTGGGTAGCACCTTAGCCTCTGCTTGAAATACGACTACTACCATCCTTTCTTTAAGCCATTTGACCACAACATCATTCACTTTAGGGTCAAGTGTGATAGTGGCGGTATGACCCTCAGCCACACACGTTCCATGATTCAAACCCTCCGGAAACCCCCCATCCTCAATACATTTTTCTACCATCGACCTAATCCGTTCCTCTTCAGGGTCGAGTGGGGACTCCATTTCCCAATCAAAGAGTGAAGTGGGGCAGGAAATAACATGCACAAACATAGCGACGCAAAACAAAAATATAAGCCCATATGCGAAGTTCCTGTCGATAGGCTCAATTAACTTAGCAAAGAGCATGCAAATTGCCTGACAATAGGGATAAGTGAGAGAACTGATATACCGTTTGTCGACTCGGTCATCCCTGGGGGCGTCGCCTACAATTTTTAAGCTTCTCGCTCCTCTCATGCCCTCGGATCTTCGTTGGCTCCAATAATAGAAGTTACCTCGCTTCGCCTGTGTAAAGACTAATCTCGTCTCACTCCTGGGGGGATGTATGCCCCGAGATGTCCATACCGGTATTTCGGACCGTTGTGCTCAATCCTCGTAGGGCTACAATGCTTTACTAAATACTTACATTTAACGCGTGAGCACGCCTATGTTGGCCTGTTGGCAGACATCTTCTAACTAAATACCTCTTGCTTAGCGAATGCTTGTCACTATGGCGACGCGAAGATTATCTCCTCCTCATTTCACCTGCACCTTCAGTGAAAGTTAATTTCAGTACTTCTCTTTTGCTAACTCTAACCTCGCCTGTTGCGTGCAGAACGGGCGCTGGGGTGCTCATCAGTTCCCCTGATTCACTTGGCATGTCAACGCCGTCTCGGGACTCTCTGTTGACCCCTATACATCGTCTCGGGCTACGGTTGGGTGTCAGGAGGTGGTGGTCGCCTCACTCCCTTGCTGGCACCGCAGGGAAATGACGAGAAAGAGCCGACGAACTACCGCCCGCGGCACAGTGCGGAGCGTTACCGGGCGCCTTTCGCTGCGGCCCCTTCTCTCTAAATGTTTTTTCGTGTCCGCAGTGTTTGGTCTTGCCATGTCCAGCTTTTCCCAGCCATATATTTTCCCAAAAGACGACAACCACGACCCCTACCCCCCCCCAATAAAAATAAAAATGGCAACCACAAAAAATCAAAAGGGGCCTACCAACCCCTCTTCCCGAAGGACCGGTTGGGGCACATGAACACCAACACAAAAAAAACGGTCCTCGGCCTTCCCTGAATTCCCGGAACCCTTGTTCTACCCCAAAATGAAAATTATACCCCCTTCCAACTACAGCTACATCTGCCAGCGACCGGTACCCGACCAAGGACGGATGATGTCCGTGACTCAGAAAGACAAGAACCAAGGGAGGGAACGCAGCTCCTACTGGGCTGCGAACTTTCCCTTGGGGCGAGGTCCCACTTGCAAAGAAGATTGGATTGAACGCCTTAATTTGGCCGCGTTTGGGGACAAGTGCAGAAAATGGAGATCATTGAACTCCTTTTCTGCATCTCTGCCTAAAACACGCCCAGATTCAGGATCTTAATCCAATCCCCATTGCCAGTGGAACCACCCTCCTGGGGTGGCAGTGCCATAGAAATCCTTTCCTGCCGCCCCCAACCCCTTTTCCGAAAAAGAGAGAAATGTTCCAAGCCGGGCCAGCCTAGCTCAGTTGGTTAGGCATGCAAGTGGCATTCAGGAGGTTGTGGGTTCAAGCCCCATGGCCGCCTGCGGCGCACTTAGTGCCAACGGACTGTGATAGTCCTCTGGATACCCCTGATTGGTATTAGCGGGTCTATGACCAACACGGGTGTGAGTGTGAGCGAGTGGGTTGTGTGTGGTGTGTGGGAGAGTGTTGGCCATAGCCTCTGCTGCTACTCGATGAAGGGTGGGGGACGATGAGAAAGGGAGGCACAGCTACTGGCAGGTCTCGGTCTTTGTGTTAGCCAGACCCCCACTGGTGGCCCCAACCCTATACCTAACCATTAGGGCCAAGGGGCAACATGAAATCTCCCCTTCACAGAGAGAGGAAAACTATGCTTACAGGGGTCCCCTCTAGATAGTCTTAGGAGTAGGTAATGGAAGGCAAAGAAACAGAAGTTGAGAGAAGAGTATAGAAAGAACAGAAAAAAAAAAAAAAGAAAAAAAAAAAAGAAAAAGAAATCGCGGGGGGCCCACAACCCAGGTAGTGGAGGTTTAGTCTTCCTTTGAGTAATATTTTGCGACGTGGCCACAATCCAGCTGTGAGATGCTCAGATCGGATGGCAGGAACGGGCTCGATCTCGAAACGAGGTCTAGAACCCCGCCAGGTGGCCAAGCCCGGAGGAAAGAATCCAGGTAACTGGGAGCCTGTCCCAGTGTCCCAGTATTATATGGGATGATACGGGGTCGGTGGACGCGCCGGGGGGCAGGTCCCACTAGCAGCGTTGAGCTACCTCAACGCCTGAATCTGGATGTTTTTTGCGGAGATGTGCAGAAATGGTGTTGAGTTTCCTGAACTGCACGTCTCCACAAACACGTCCAGATTCAGGCGTTGAGGTAGCTCAACGCTGCTAGTGGGACTTGACCCCGGCTTCCAGCGAAGTTTGTACGTATAGAGTCGCCAGTGGCGATAATTCCCGAAGTTGTCGAGTTGTCCTTCGGGACATACGAACGATACAGAGAATTGTTTTTTTTTTTTTTTTTTTTTTTTTTTKTWTTTTTTTTGGGCATGGCATCTGCGCACGGATGACACGCATAAATCGAGAAATGGTCAGAAAAAAAAAAAAAGAAAAAAAAGTTATGGAGTTCTAGCTACACCTATAGACGATGCGATTTTCGTGCATTGAGTTTTGGCGGGGTTGGACTACCGGTAGAGCTCCACAGCTTCGCCAACTGTCAGCCAGCGGCGAGTCCCGAGTTCTAATCTGCACGATTGACTCTTTTCATCAGAGCCGAGCCGAGCCCAGCCGAGCCCAGCCGAGCCCAGCCGAGCGGGGCGTACATTCTCACCGCTCTCGACGTCTCGTCGGTCAGGAAGCGGCTATCGGTGGTCATCCTACAGGTAATTCCTCCTCCTCCTTCTCCTCCTCCTCCTCCTCTTCTTCGCACTTCGCATCCTATGCTCCTTTGCCTCCTGTCCTCTCATCGCTATTCATCCTACAGGTAATTCTCACCGCTCTCGACGTCTCGTCGGTCAGGACGCGAGAGTGAAGAGTGAAGAACTAGAAGGTGAGGTGTTGCAGACGTGGAGAGCATGAGGTGAGGGAAGGATGAAGCAGAACACGCAGAGGAGGATGAGAGAAGGGTAGGAGTGCCGCGTGCGTAGTTTTCGGTAATCGGCCCTTGTTCCTGCCATGTGGTCAGTTTGTTCCGCCGGTGGAAAAGAGGAGGCATGAAAAAGGACAGATTTTGTAGGAAAAGGAAAGAATGTAGAAAAAGCTGAGAAACTTCAGAGAAACTTCAATGAAGTGTCGCTGACTTACGAGTGCAGTGCACTGTGTTTGTGCTTCGGCTCTTACGGGTGTTTTGGGGAACGGGTTGGCCAGCCAGCGGCTTGCTTTTCTTCCTTCCTTTTTTCTCAAATTTTTAAATTTAAAAGCCGATTAATTAGCCGCATTTTTTCCGGTCCTGCAAGCCGGATGGGTAAACAAGAGTGTCGGCGGCTGGTCGTTTGCCGCCGCCATAGCCTTCGTATTGGTCATCCTCCATATCCGCTGGCCTCCCCCTTCCGGCTTTCCCTGTCCGCTCTCTTCTGGTCCTCTTCTTCCCCCTCTCCTCCTCCGTCTTCCCTTCGCTTCTCGTCCCGTTGTTATCGAGCATCCTAGGACATGCTCAATCCAGTATTTTCTGGGGATGTATTCGACCGTAATCACGCACAGATCCGGTTGAAACGGACACTTGTATTTGTAGGAGAGCGGCGAAGTGGCTTTGCTGTTAATGACTGAGTACGATTAGGAGTGGCGGGAGAAGATCGGGATCGAATGCGCAGGACACGGGGGGCGGCGGAGGCGGGGGACAGGTCACAAGACAGGGGAACGGGAGGAGAAGAGGTGGAGATTGGGCGGAGGAGGAGAAGTGGGTTGGTTGAATATTTAATCTGTGATCCAGTGGGCGCGGGCTGTTGGTAATGGTATTCGCGGGGGGGATTGGGCGGAGGGCCGGCGCAGCCAGTGGCAGCGTTGGGCGGAGGGTGGGCGCAGCCAGTGGCGGCGTTGGGCAAAGGGTTGGCGCAGCCAGTGGCGATGCTGGGCGGAGTTACGGCACGGCCAGTGGCGGAGTTGGGCGGAGGATCGGCCCAGCTAGTGGCGGCGATGGGCGGAAGATCGGCGCAACCAGTGGCGGCGTTGGGCGGAGTTTCCGCGCAGCCTTGGTCCAGTCAGCGGCGTTGGGCGGAGGGTCCGCGCAGTCTCTGGGCAGCCCGTGGCGTTGGGTGGAGTTTCGGCGCAGGTAGTGGCGGCGATGGGCAGAAGATCGGCGCAGCCAGTGGCGGCGTTGGGCGGAGGATCGGCGCAGGTAGTGGCGATGGGCAGAAGATCGGCGCAGCCAGTGGCGACGTTGGGCGGAGTTTCCGCGCAGCCTCGGCCAAGTCAGCGGCGGTGGGCGGAGGGTCCGCGCAGTCTCTGGGCAGCCCGTGGCGTTGGGCAGAGGATCCGCGCGACCTCCTGCGCAGAGGGCGAAAGCATCCGCGCAGCCTCCGCGCAGTCAGCGGAGTTGGGCAGACGATCTGCATAGCTAGTGGCGGCGCTGTCTGGTCCCACTGCGCGCCGTTGTCACTGTCGTTCCCGCGAATAGTACGAGCTGCAGCAATAGACCTCCGATCGTTTGTCCTCATCCTTCTCGACCTTAGTCTATAGCTCTATCTCCTACTGCGCGCTGTTGTCGCTGTCTGGTCCTATAGACTTTTCATTGAGCTATTACACTCCACCTGCTCCATCTCCTCCCAACCCCTCAGCTTTCTTCAATTGTTCCGTCCATTCCATCCCCTCCACGTCTTCCAGCTATTCTACCATCTCCACCTCGCCTCCTGCACGACCTTCTCACCTTTGTCGAACTCTCCTTAAATTATCGGCTTACCCGCTACCTCTACGTTTTTTTTCGGCCATGAGGAGACTTCCTTCTTACCATGGTGTGCCTTGTTCAGTCCTCCTAATCCTTCTCCCGTCCTCGTCCTCCTGTCACCTCCTGGGTGCACTCCTTTCTGACAATCTCCTCCTCCTCCTCCTCCTCCACTTCGTCATGCCTTTATCGTCGTCATTCGCGTACCTCTACCACCCTCCACCTCCTTGTGCCCTACCATGCTCCGTCTCCGTTTTCCGCCGAGGAAGGAGGATGGGAGTCCGTCGAGAGGAGAAATGGGTGAGGTGTGTGTGTGTGTGTGTGTGTGTGTGTGTGTGTGTGTGTGTGTGTGTGTGTG